TGTCTTCGTACTTGTTCTCTGGGCCATCACTCATTTTTGGTCGAACTGGTAGACGCACATTGGCAAAGGCCCGTAGCATGTGCGTTGGGTCGGAAAAGCATTGGATGCGCGCCTGTACACGCAGGCTTTCCAGCGGAATTCCTTCGATCATCTGATCCAGCAGCTCGTCATCATCAACATTTATTTCTCGTGAAAGAGTCATCTTGTCATCAAAATAGGAGGAAAAATTTTCTTCGGCTTTCCATTTGCGAGTCTCGAACTTTCGTCTGATGTCCACCTTTGATATTTTTCCTCCGAATGCCAGAGTCAATTGGGCAAACAAATCGTCGAGAGACTCTGACATCCGAGCCGGGCTTGCATGTAGCCAGACTTGAGCAGCGCCTTTTAACTTAGATATGGCCAACATGCGTAAATAGTTGTCGTTAATATTGTAGGCGCGTGCAATATTTTTTATTTGTGTGATCCAAGCACGCACGCATGACTTGCCGTCGAAGTCCACCACTATCTCTTTTGCGAACGTAAAACTGTGCAACGGAGTAAATTTGTTCTCTTCGCTCTCAATTTGTTTTGGTTTTAAGAGAGCATAAGAGTTTTCGGCAGCAACAGCATTGCCATCATCGTCAAATGATTTTGCTCGCAGCTCTAACTCAAGTAAACGAAACTTTGCCTGTGTTGCTTCTAATTCGGCACGTAACTGTAACAATTCTCTTTTTTCGTCTTCTTGCATTACTTCTGACGATTCGCTTCTGTTGCTGGCATCGTGATCGGCGCCTTCGCTGTTGTTGAGGGCTCGCTGTTGTTCGCTTTGCGTCGGAATGTTGGTCCCGTTATGATTTTCGTGGGAATTGTTGTTGCTCTGCACACAATGTTGCGAACTATTGGCGTCGGGACGCAATTCATCGTTGGCACTTTCACATTGTTTTTCATAAAGTTCGGAATTTCTGGGTGAAAAATTTTCATCCATATTTTGGGCTTGGGGCTCCTTAGGGTATGCGCCACGATTTTCAATATTGTTGAGTCGGGCGACCAGCTCTGCTTTTGAGCCCATTGTTGATTTACCCAAGGCGTTAAGCCAATTTTTTAAGATTTGTGTTGAAAATGTGTTTACATCAATTGTATCATTTATAGCGCGTTACTATCCCACTTCTGAGATTTTAGTAGTAAAGTCAGGTCAATAATATATATGTTTGTAAGTATTTATTTACACAAAGCACTACACACAACTGTCTTGTACAAAGAACGATCAAAAAGTGATGTTCTCTTTATTAATTATGTCTTGTGTACCTCTGAGAGCGGGAATGCTCTCAGTGTGTACACTAATGCTTATTATACTAAGTACAAAAGTGTATACATCCTTACTTTCTACGGTGATTAGAGTAACGGCCTGCTACAATATACATATAGGGAATACGAATGGGCATCGGGAAACAGAAATTGAAACTGCGAATGGAATAGAAAGCTACGACAATTTTTTTATGTCGTTTCTCTTATGCGTCCCATACTTAGAAGTAGAGAAAGACGAGGGAACAGGAGGCTGCAAAACTTCTGCTTCATTTGAGAGTATGTGTGCGGCTCTATATTACATTTAAAATTTATGAGCACAAAAATTATTTATTGTGTCATAAGTTCCAACCCCCATACTCTCTGTTTTCAACTTGTACCCCACTATGTCTTAGTGTATGTGTGTACGCGCATGTGTGTGTATCTATGTGCCTTGCATTGCTTTCTAAATCTTCCAAAATGTGTTTTTTGTGCTGATTTTCGTTGATTGTTTCAACTTTGTTCGCTTCGCGAGAGATCACATAAAGACGCGCTGCTTAAAAGCCGCTCGAAAGTATGCTACGTTCCTAGTACTACACATTTAGAGGGCTTTACAAAAATATAATTTATAGTTAGTAGTTAATGCTAAACATTCAAGTAATATATTTCATTTTGGAATTTAAAATTAGTTCATTTCACTTTATTTGTATAAATAAAATTATTAGTGTTTCATAAATATTTGATACTTTGATATCTATAATGTTACAAAAAGAGGATAAGCAAGTCGAAACATTGTTTGCCTGTTGATTTGGTATGAATGATTTACACTCATTTTTTACAAAAAAAAACCCTTTCGACCGTTGATTATTTGAAAGTTTATTTTATTGTCTATTTTTAAAGGTAGTATTAAATAACTTCAGGTAAATGCATTTATACAATAAACGAACAAAAAATAGTAGAAAATCTTATTTGTTTTGGACACGTGTTATGGTAAATATACTATATGATGTGTTTTTTACACATTCAATTTAATAATGGAATGTATATGGAATATGATCGGACTGTGTAAAAACACTGTTCATAAAACGCCTAGATTGTTTTTTTATGCTGACAATACTTCCGAATACAAGTACCTAGTTACACTTTATTAACTGTTTGTATATATAGGTAGGTAGGTATACATTTCTTTGAGTATAATTTAAAAGCTCTTTTTTTTGGTTTGACATTGTGTGATCTAAAATTTGGCCTATAAAGCATTTTAACAGCTTCCAGAACACAACAATGGGCTAGCATGAGTCGAGGCTTTCAACTTAGTAGCTCGATGCTCGCTCATAAAAACACTTAGCGACGACCTAGCGGGCACTCAAATAAAGTAAGGCCACACAACAACAACAACAATAATAGCAGCAGCAGCAACAACAACAATAAAAGCAGCAAAGGAAAACCATCTCTTATTTTTTTTAACTGACTTTTCATGCTAAATAACAGCAACAAACATGTGCTAGGCAAATTGTGGGTGGAAAACTAGGTGCCGGAGTGCAGAGCAATTCTGCCCTCTTGTCCCATGTGTGCTGTACTCGTAGTAGGTGGGCGATATATGTCTTGTGGTTGCTACCGGTACTACTGGTGGGGCTTGCCTTGAGGCAGCCAAATGCGGCATGAACTTTACATGGTGTGTATATTAATTTATTATCATTATCAGTGATTTAAAAACGGGCGTCATGACATCGTAAATTATAAAAGCGTGCCTGCTAAGACATGGGACTACTTAACGGCAATGTGGCTGTCCTTGTTGTTATTGTGCCTTCTGCTGCTTTTACTCTTGTTGTTGTTGTTGTTGTTTTTATATAGTACGTGCAATTTACGCGCATGTTTAAAGCGCGTCTCTGGCGCGTCGCGGCTTGGTGTTTTATGTGCTGTCAAAACATTTTCAGCGCATTTAGCAGCGTAAAGCCTTAAATATATTTTCTTTTTAATTGAGCAGAAAGTGATGATGGCAGCGTTGCTCACAATGTTCGCAAAATTCGCTTACCATCAAGTGTGAGTCGCTAAGTTTTTGACTTCTCTTTTGAGTGGCTAATGGTGTCGCCCTCATCGGCATCTTCATCGTTTACTGTCTAAGCGCATTAAGCGAGTTACGTGGCGCTAATTTACGTAATGTTTGTCTTTGACATTTCCGCATAAGAGCACACACATACACCTATACACCCATACACACACTCACACACACACATGGCCACATGTGAGCTGATGGCTTCACCGTCTTTATCAGGCATCTCTGCCTGACAACTCTTTCAGCCAGCTGGCAAGTGACTTTTCCAGGCAACACTTTGCAAGCCGTTTAATCATTTAATAAGAAAATTATACGCCCCGTCGTGCACACAGCACCCCTTATCACCACAATGGAGGCTCCCCTTGCCACCTCCACCTACCCCACCGTATAATTTTCCTTGTTGTTGTTACTGTTTGCGAACTCTTTGCGCTTTTATAAGACTGTGAAAATGTTTCTAATGAACTTAATTATTGTTGTTGCTGCTGTTGATGTTGCCTGCCGCTTCTGTTCCGGCAGCAGGCTCCTTTGACTTTCGCTTTGACATTTAGCAGTGCTAACAATTTTAAGTCCGGTTTGTTGCATATGGCACAAAGCTTTTGATCTTTTTATGTGAGCGTGTGTGTTTGTTTGTTTTCTTGCAACTTCAGGCGCGTAGGCGTAGCGTTTCATTGTCATAGCTGAACGTTTGTGAGGTGCCCTTTATTCCAATCCTGACATTATTTAAATTCATTTTATACTTTCTTTAATAAAATTTATATTTAAATACCAAAGTAGAGCAAACAAAAGAAGGAAGCATGCTTCATCAAAAATTAATTGTTTAGGTTCAAAGGAAGCACAAAAGCTTACGTTACGTATACGTAATGTCAAGTGATATGTGAACAGCTAATGGGATTGCAAAGTGGCGTCATTGGTGTTTCAGGTTTAACCCTAGAGGATTTATTAGCTACGCAATGACGAATATGTATTTGTTTTATGTGTGTGTTCCTTTAAGAGTTTTATAAACATCAAGACATGAATATATTAATATAACGAGGGGAATTTTTATAATAAAGCAGCCACATAGAGCTGAACTTAAATTTAATAAATAATTCATCCGAGCAATTGATTAAGAGTTAGTTTATTAAAGAAAATCATTGAAAACTCTTAATACAAACCCCTTAATTAAACTCGAAAATATAAATCAAGTGAATTGATTATTTATGAAGAACTTTTTGTATCTACAGAAGAGTACAATTCATCTTATTTCATATTATTTACTTCTTTAATAAATTTAATAATAAAAAAAAACGCTATTGACCAAAGCTATCATTAACTTTAATTTTTTTAAGAAACTAAATTTCATCGGATCTTCACGGTATACATAATAAATCACTCATATAGTACTGCTTAGTTGTAAACATAATCTTTGTATTAAGAACTTTTTTAAATAATGAACTAATTAATTTAAATTGTACAAAATCCATAAATTACATAATGCAATAAAAACCCTGAAGAACTTAAGAAATTGAATTTTAATCGAAACACTTTGGCGAAAATCAGAAATGAAATTCGCATTCGTTACCAGCTCAATATCGACTACCATTTTTTAATAATTATATTTCAGCAGGAAACAAATTTAATTTGTAGGGTTAAGCAGCTCTTGAAAAACCAAATCTCATTCCTTGCTTTGTTCCTCCTCTCTTTTCAGCGACGAATATTCGATACCAGATCACAGGCGGTAACATAGGCAATGCTTTCGCCGTACAGAATACGACCGGTGTCATATACGTAGCCAATCCGCTAGACTACGAAACAAGACCAAGGGTAAGCGTCACAGAACACACGAACATACTTAGATATTCAAATACGTACAACTCGTAAGTTGCGGCAGCGACGTTGACAGAACGGCTCAAAAATGTCACCCCAGCCGGATAAGCTACTCAAAAGTGTTGCCTTAACTTTCAACACAATGCGCCAGGTTTTAGGACCTTCCTATTTTTTTAAACTTGTTTCCTTTTCTCGGCATGTCTACAAGTTGCACTAGTTTCTGTTTTTTGTTTTTTTTTTCGGACAACTTTTGGTGTGTGCGGTGCTGCCGTTGCATGCATAATTTATATATTTTTGCTGCTTTACTGATTTTGCAAGAAATATATGCAAAACTATGCAAAACTTTTGTATATGTACACAGCATGGGAGGATACAGAAAAAACTAAAAAAAAACTAAAATAAAAAAGCACAAATATTGAAACCAACGTGCAAGCAAACGAACAAAGTTTGACGTTGCGTGGAACGACAGACAGCTGAACGACAACAACAACTACAACTTCTGCAACAACTTGTACAACGCGTACAACACAACAGCAAAAGGAACAGGAGCAGGAACGAAACCCGATGACTGCGCTGGGAGACAAGCTCGGCATGAAAAAATTAATCAAAAAGCTGCGCGCACATGCAAATAAACTGGCAGTTACATTTGTGTGTGCGCGTGTGTGTGCGTTGTGCGTTGTGTGTGTGTGTGTGGGTGCGTAGGTGAAGTCGAAATTACCACGGCAACCAAAACTACAGCTGTCGTAGATTTCCCATTGCGCATTTTTAACGTGATTGTACGCACACAGATCCGCAAAACGCACACCCCCCCCTCCCCCTCCCCATCACCCTCGCCATCCACCACTTCCTTTACACTCTGACAGCTTGTTTCGGCACAACAACAAGAAAAAAACCAAAAATGTTGTCAACGTGGCTGTCAATGTGGCCGCGACAGCGCCAACAGCATCGGCAATGGCAGGCTTCTCCTTGCAACAAACAACGAACAACAAGAACCACAGAACATGTGTTGCCTTTCAGTTTTAGTTGCTAACACATGACCCAGCCATGTGCAACAACAATGACGAGAACAACAACAGCAACAACAACAACAAATGTTGGCCAACACTAAATCCCATTCATGTAATTCACATGACTCTCTTTTTTATCCTTTTTCCTGGCAAACAAATGCATTTAAAAAGTTTGGCAACGGGTGTGACATGCGAAACCATTTGACTTGACTAAGTGCATCGGGATTTAATGTGTGTTTGGAGCTCTTCTTTGATTACAGTTATTTTATTTTTTATTTCTATTTGCAGTACGAACTGCGCTTGGAAGCCACACGCAATCGCAAGAACAATTACACCACCGTTGTCATCAACGTACGCGATGTAAACGATAATCCACCGGTTTTCGATCGTCAAACATATCGCACACAAATCACTGAAGAAGACGATCGAAATTTACCAAAACGCATTTTGCAGGTGAGTGACCGGAAAAGCTAGATATAAGTTTAGAAATGATCTATAACCATATACATACAAGTATTATACAAATGGGTATAAGAAGTGCCTTTATTACTTACTTCTTGTTTGTATTGTATTGGCTTGGAGAATTTAAAATCATCTACAATTCGAAAACTCTTCTACTCTCTAGACAACACGTGCTTGTTATATTTTTGTGATTTATGAACAATCTTAATACGCATGTGTTGTCACAAATTATATTATTTTATTTGAAACCAAATGGAACATATTTTAGAATATCACAAAATGTACATTTTATGGGCGCACTGTCTTCCACTTCTCAAATTATAGGCAAAGTAATTCACACGTGAAAAGAAAAATAAAGCTGTAAATAGATATGCGAACCACGCCACATAAATATTTGCATAAGAAATAAATAATAACAGATTGTTTAAACTATGCATTGGCAATAATTGTTCCTCTAATTAATATAATTGCTGTACTTATATTCTTGACGCCCACCACAAAGTTTGGCATAGTTTTTTAGCTCAGTGGCGCTCGTGCTATTTATTATCGTCTCGCCTTAACCGGGCTTAAATATTTACTGCAATGGCATACATTTACACACACGCATACGCAACATACATACAATTTGCATAAAATAAAAGCCAGGTCCAGCTCAGGTACACAAACTCAGAAAAACAGTGAAATCAAGCGCCCAACTCAAGTGCCATTGCGCAATAGAGGAGGGAGTGGCTGTGAGGAGTTTGCAGTGAGTGGGGCGTGGCAGCAATTCAGCTGTAAATACAAAATAAATACCCATTCATTAATAATAACGACGCCGTACGCTCCCCTGCAGCCAATACAAAATGTACGTTTCTGTATGGGTGTATGTGTGTTTATTTGCTGTATGTGTATGTGTATGCATAAGTCATAAATAACAACAAAAAGCCAAACTGTTTGCATGGCTCTGAGGATTTTTAATTGCACATTTATGCTTAAGTTAAAACAACAGCTCCGTTTATTTGCTCACGCCGAGTGGATTCCATTGCGGCCCAATAATCAACGTTAAAGTATGTGCTGTATAGGTATGTGTGTATATGCGTGGGTATGTGTGTGTGTGTGTTTGTCCATATTGTATAAAAGTGTGAAGCGATTTCCTCAACACCTTTAGTCAAATTGATTTTGTGCGTGGAAATTAAATGAAAATATTTATGCCACGCGCGAACATTTATCCGCATGCCAATAAGTGTGCGTGTGGGCGAGTGTGTGGGTGCATGTGTAAAAGGCTTTTAAGTTATGGACATAAATGGCCGACTGGTCCATGTGAAATGTGTCTGTGTGTATGTGTGTGTGTGTAGAGACTGCCTGTCTACTGAGAGCACAATTGCATTCTTGTCTCACACACTCGCAATAATGGCAACAACGATAGCACGTAGACAGCTCTTTTGTCATATCAATTGTGCTGAACATTTAACGTAAATTGTAGCATTATGGGGCTGACAATTGTACGGGAACACGCGACACACGACACACACACACACACATATTCCATATAAATATATATACTATATATATATATGAATTAATGTCTTTAACAGCACGTTTCACGTAAAGAGCAAACAGCTTTATTTCGAACTATGCTCTAAGCCGAAAGTGTAAAATGGTAGTATAGTTTAGTGTGAATGAAGGTAACAGATAGGAGCAGATATAGCAAGACCCACACAATATACTCTTAAATACAGTATTCTGTTGACATTTTTCGTAAACTTATGTCTGTACATATGTATATATTTATTATTTTTATATATATTTATTTAATTGAATGGAATGTCAATTTCACTGCAGTACTAGTTTAGTGTGAACATACAAAAGCAGGCGTGAGAGACCGGATTTCAAAATTCTTAATACAGATGATAAGACGAATGGATATAGTGATGTCCATCCGTCTGGATGATCGGAAGTATCTCAGGAAGCAAAAGAGCTGTAACAAAACTTAGTATCTGATGCATCCCCCCTCCTCTACCACGTTCTTGCTATTAGTGATTTTCAATAACTCTCGTAATTCTATGATTTTTAAACATAAAATTTGTGCTAAGTTTCGATTATTTTAAATATATATATTTCTTTTATAAACTTGTATTTTGTTTATATTTGTGCGAGAAGGTACAGGGTATTTAAGATTTGGGTCCGCTCCAACCTATCATTTCTTTCTTGTTTCCACCTACCAGTTCAAATGCTCTTAGGCGGCTTTTCTTCTCTTCCTCGTAACGATTTCAAATGAAAATGTACAAAGACTCGTTTGAATGGGAACAGGATAACTATTTTAAAACGCCACGTGGATCCTATATACATAGACAAACACACACACCTGCACACATGCAAGTATGATTGTTCAGCTCAATCTTTGTTTAGGAGTTGGTATTGTGCCTGTAATTTCTATAATTCCACATATAACGGAGAATTCTTGCGATGCAATGTGCATGAAAAAGTTACAAATGGAAGCATAACAATAACTGAAAAGGAAGACAATAATAATAATTGCCCTAATTGGCCTGACAAGTGTTTGATGGTTCTTTTGTCTACCAGCATTTACAATGCCAGATCGGGCATAGTTTGTGCAGTAAAGGATATGAGATATATTAATGTGCAATCTGGAATATTTGTGAACAAATTATAGAAAAAATCCAATCCCATTCCCAACATCTATACTTTATAATATCAGCCCAGAAACTCCACAAGATGTAACTTTGTATTTGACAATCAAGTATTTGGAATTACTAAAGTCAAATTAAATTTAAAAACCACAAGATAATAAATAAATAATTAACAAAAGAGTCTTGCGCGAGCATGCACATAAGTCAGAGCAATAAATAAATGTTTGTTTAATACTCTAACCTACGAACAATCCAAGCTTTGCACTTTACTGAAATTTCTAACCTCGATCTAAAGAGAGTTTTCTTCAATCCTTCCATTACCAAATACCTTAAAACGTGAAATCTGGCTAGAGCAGCCTGTCAAATTGTCATCCCTAAATGCTCAGCAATTTGCTGCTCGGTATGCACACAAACAACTATCAAATATCCATGCATAAAGCAGCTTATAACAATTTCCTAATACGCATAATAAAAAAGCCCAGACACAGATTTCATTTATGCGCAAGACGAAGCAGTCGCACAACTCGCAAATAAATGCCAAAAACCGATTGAATAATTACATAAATCTTTGCAATATTAGCATTTTGTTCATGCCCCGAAAAGCGAAGCTCACAAAAAGCTAAAGCCAAAGCGGCCGTGGCAGCACCAGAAGCAAGCCAACTGACAATCTTTTGTATCGTATTTTAGTCGAGCAAATGGAAATAAAAAATCGAAGCATAAATTTACAAGCAATCTGGCGTATTTGTGCAGTGCAAACCGCATCGTCCCCATTCCCTACCCCGACCCCAACCCCGTCCTCGCGTTTGCCCACGGACTTACTTTTCATGCCCTTTATTGGACATTTAAAGCTTTTTGCTCATTTACATATTTGATTTATGTACTTTATATTGTAGACGAGGTCCACGCAGGAGAACGCTGGACCGGCCAATGGCCAACCGCTTAACCATTTTTTCTGCAATATTTTTTACTCAATTGTTCAGTATCTGTATATTTTTCTCTTCTACTTGCAGGTTACTGCCACCGATGGCGATGTAGATAGACCAATAAATATTGTATATTTCCTCACTGGTCAGGGTATTGACCCCGATAATCCAGCAAATAGTAAATTTGATATAAATCGCACGACGGGCGATATATTTGTGCTCAAGGTAAGCAGATTTTCAGCAGTCCATAAACCCCTAGATGACCGCCAATTCAAACCCTGACACCCACTTTCGAAACACTCTCAAAGGTAGCCGAATACAAGTAAATGAACGTAATAAGACTTTTTTACCGTCACCGGCCCTTTTTTTAGCTTTCAACTGGGCCACAATTTATAGATTCACAGGGTATTGTAAAAAGTAAATGGCAGCTTAATATTTGTATACGCCCCGTTGGCCGTTAATAAAGAGTAACAAAAAAGTTGCCACAGCAGTTGAAAATCCGTTAAATATTTAACATTCGTTGTGGCTTTTGATTGCCAAACAAAAAACGCGCCGCAATGTCCTGGCCACAGAGATTTTGCCAAATGAAAATTATAAAGTGGTCGGCGGCGCATGATTAATTTAAAACTGTGCCAAGCCACGCCCAAAAGGACAAACGCACACACACACACACAGACACACACACACAGACACTAATAAACACGAGCAGGAAGGCGTTTAGAAAAAGTGCACCCCGTCGATCTGCAATGCTGCTTTATGCCAACCACGCGTACTTCAATTAATTTCAGAGACAAAGTCCATAAAAACACAACCCAAATGCCGGGAAACATTGTCGGCAGAACGACAGAGCTGCAGGCGACCGACAGAACCAGAAATGGTAGCAGCATAAAATGTTTAAATGTAGCTGCTGCTGCCGCTGCTGTTATTATAGTTGTTGGTTGGCTGCAGAGGCCGAATCACCACCAGCACTAACAGCACCACCACCACCACCACCACCAACAACAACAACAGCCGCAATGACAGCAGCAGCAGCAGCAGCAGCAACGGCATGTGGCATTTGTGGTTGTGACGCTCTACACCGCATGTAAATGACATTCGTCGTTCGTTATTGGTGCGTGGTCGGTTGGCATAAAATTGAGTGCAAAATAAGCGCTCGTAATGCGCTAGGGGGACAGAGCAGAACTCGGTATTTAAAATGTAATTGAAATTGGGTTTGTGTTTCATATGGCAGCAATAAACTATGTGCAAATTTTGATAGTTCGTTGACACGCATACGCGCGATATGAGTGAAATATTGAAAGTTGGCGAATTCCAACACAGGTCTGTTGCCTTAATTGAAAATTCGTCCGCTCTAAAGAGTGGGCAGACTAAACAAAAATAACATTTTGCTGAAAGGGCCATGAAGAAAAATAGTTCAAAATACTTCATAGATCTCCAGTATGGACAGTTGATTAATGCTTATGTTGGTCTTCACAGTTACTCTTTCTCCGGACTGTTTTTCAAAGAGACTATGCCTTTCTGTAAAGTAAATGGCACTTATGATTTGTAATCGCTTAATAAACTGAGCCAGGATAGACGCCAATGTCCCGACCTAATAGGAACGCATTTTCTATAAATAAAACATGTTAAATTTTAATAGAAACGTTAAATAAGTAATAAAAATTACCTTCTTGCTAACAAAAATATTCTATGAAATATTCGAAATTAATCTGATTGTTTTCAAAACTTTGAATTTATTTTCCTAATTATACTTATATACTTTTTTTTTAATGCAACAAACGTGTCTTTCATTTGATAGGCACTTGAGTCTAACAATAAATTGTTTTAACTTTGTGTTTAATTTGAATTGAAAATACTATGTTTCATATTATTTATATGTATGCCAAAGTTTTGTTATCTGAAAAGCATTTGTCAATAATATAAAATGAGTATGGATTCGACTAAACTAATGGTCAAGCTGCTTTCTTTTAGACTAAATGTCGGCATGGCCGCTCAACATTCCATCCATGATTAGACAATGGTAATATTTATATAAGAGTTGGGGTTTGGAAAATTATCACGCTTCTCGTGCTGAACAAAAAGGAAGAAAAGTGGTAAATAAAATGTTAGCGTTAATATACAAATTTAAAGATGTCACATCTCCGCGTATTCAAACAGGTAATTTTTTAGTATTTTGTTAAAAAGCAATACCTTATCTTCCGCATTTGTTCGAATTCGATTGTGGATGGCTGTAGCAGCTATTTGATACTAATGAGAAATTCCTTGTGCTATATTATGTCTCTTTTATGTTATCAGCTCTTGTGCTCAGGAATTGTAATTGAAACGCTGAATTTTTGTTCAGCAACAGCAGGCATAGATGTCATTTAAATAAGGCCCCAAATGCAGCGCAACCGGGAAATTGTGAATGAGAAGACATTTCGATTTATTTGATAGGTTTTTGTTTTGTCAGAAACAACGCACACATTACCGTACCGCTGCTTATACGGCTTCGGGTAATTGTAATGGTAATGCGATTTTATGTGGATAACTCATTTGATGGGAAATCCAATATCAGCAGGCAATGCTGGAATACATTAGGCTGTGGGAGTGGGAGTGGTGTTAATGACAGGACAGAATGGCAGAATGGCAGGACAAACAAAGCCAGTTCTCAAATGACAGCTACCAGCAATAACAAGGCAACAACACTTGGCATATCAAGAGTCCCTGACATGCAGTCTGCAGCTTGGCTCAGTTACAGTTTCCTGACTATAGCATTATTTGCTTGCATGCGGACAAACAAACGAACGGATGGCCACGGACATGGACTGAGAAATAGACGAACAGACAGACAGACAGACAAACATCTAGCCGCCAAATCAAACGACGCCTCTAACACGCACTCACTCTCTTTCCCTTGAACGCGCACAGCCCCTCGACCGAGATCAGCCGAATGGTCGGCCACAATGGCGATTCACCGTGTTCGCCCAGGACGAGGGCGGAGAGGGACTTGTGGGCTATGCGGACATACAAGTTAATCTCAAAGACATCAACGACAATGCGCCGCAGTTTCCGCAGGGCGTCTACTTCGGCAATGTGACTGAGAACGGCACCACCGGCCTGCCTGTGATGACAATGTCTGCCATTGACTACGACGATCCCAACGAAAGTACCAATGCGAAACTAATCTACTCGATTGAGAAGAACGTCATCGAGGAGGAGACGGGCGCGCCCATATTTGAAATAGAGCCAGAGACGGGCGTCATCAAGACGGCTGTATGCTGTCTGGACCGTGAACGCACGCCCGACTACTCCATACAGGTGGTGGCCATGGATGGTGGCGGTCTGAAGGGTGAGTATTTTATGAGCAATGTCATGAGCCAGGCCATGACAGTTCAATGACAACCATCACATTTCTGGCACTGATTTTAGGCACCGGCACAGCCTCGATACGCGTCAAGGACCTCAACGACATGCCTCCGCAGTTTACGAAGGATGAGTGGCTCACCGAAGTGGACGAAACGAACGGCACCTACATACCCGAGACTCCCATTCTGACAGTGACAGTTCAGGACGAGGACGAAACCAACTCCTTCCAATACAAAGTGGTACCAAACAGCGGTTTCGGAGCCGACAAGTTCGCCATGGTGCGCAATGCAGACGGCACTGGCTCCCTGAAAATCATCCAGCCCCTAGACTATGAGGATGCCTTGCAGAGCAGTGGCTTCCGCTTTCGCATACAGGTCAATGACAAAGGAGAGGATGGCGCCACAAGCGACAAATACCACGTGGCTTACTCCTGGGTAGTGGTTAAGCTGCGCGATATCAACGATAACTCGCCGCGCTTCGATCGCGAGCACATCGAGGTGTCCATCTACGAGGACACCAAGGTAGGCACCATACTCGAGCAGTTTCGCGCCACGGACGCTGACCAGGGTGGTCACTCGCGTGTCACGTACAAGCTCGTGCGCTCCACCAACCGAAAGCGTCAGTTCGCAATCAGTGATCGTGGTGCGGTTAGCATTCAACGACCGCTCGACCGCGAAACGGCGGATCGACATCACGTGCAAGTATTGGCCGTTGATGATGGGAATCCACCGCGCACTGCCACAGCCACTCTAACGGTGGTCGTGAAGGATGTGAATGACAATGCACCGACACTGGCGCAGGACTATAGACCGACGCTGCCCGAGAATGTGTCGGCGCGCAAGATCGTGGAGGTGGCGGCCCAGGATGCGGATGATCGGCAGCGCGGAAATGGCGGACCCTTCAGCTTTCGACTCGATCCATTGGCCAGCGATGAAATACGTGCCGGTTTCAAAATAGAATACGATCGACGTAAGTAAAAAAAACGTTCCCTTTAATTAAAGAGGAATGTCAGATGAATATTAATAGTAATTGACCAACAGCCGCACCATTTATAAATCATTATGGGTTTGCTTGATTTTCGATAATTGAAAACAACTTTGCAGAAACTTAAATATCTGAACAGCCCGAAAGAAAGGTGAAAAGACAAACAGCTCCAGGGATAACCACCAACGTGTTTGTTGTCCATTGAATTCACGTTTGACCACTCAGCTGAGCTGTTTGTCTTTTCGCCATCATTCAGCCATCTTTTCAAAAAACTCAAGTAGAAGCGCCGTAGGCCTTTTTGTCTCCTATTGCCCCGAGTTTGTTTATGGTTTTCATTTCAATTGAAATGCAAAGGTCGATTATTACGCTAGTATTTGGGATGTTTTAATTTGTGTTAGTATAAGATTTTATTTTTAATTGATACAACCTTTGTGTGGAATGTGCAAATGCAAATAACAAAGGCCAGGTGAAAATATTAACTTTGGTAGATGAATCATGCATGAAGCTGCCATTTCAAATCAACAAAATGTATTGAAGTGCAGCTGCTCTGAAAGCCAGAGCTGTTTTAATTTACATTTAGCACATTTGGTATGCTTTTATGCATGCATCGAGCTGTAAATTATATGAAACTAATATGCATTACTAGCCATGCATATTGATTTGCCAATTGTTTTATGCTCATCCAATATGCAGCACTATTCATAATTAAACATGCAACAATTTGAATGCAACGTGAATGCAACATGCACGTATGCAGGGGCAGAAACCGAAAACCATTTCAAAAATTATACCTTAATCGTGTCGATACACGTATGTATTAACGCAGAGCCGTTCCACTATTATCAATTTATGGGCTATCGCATTTATTTCGCCCTGCAATGATGGCTATTTTGCTAACCTAACATTTTACACTAATTACGCATCTCGTTAAAGCAATTATGCAAATTAATGACTACACACATATTCTTATTTATTTATGTGTCGCAGTTTGTTGCGCAAATAATTTAATCGGCTTTCCGAATCAATTATTTATTTTCCTTTTTTTTTATTCGCATAACCTGAGCCCCATGCCAAATAACATCAATGACACAAACGTGGCTGACACACCCGTGAAGCCTCGAGTCTCGAAATTCAAACGAGAGTAAATTGAAAAGCACGCTGTCAATGTCAGATAGCATTTAAGTGACACCTCAAATTTTCCTTTTTCTTTTCATTTTCCGAATCTTTTGCGCTCTTTGTGTGTTTCCTGCCCATTCGTTTCAAATAACTACCAACAATGGCTACAATACTGAAGTGCAATTTTGTTTTTGAAGCAAAAATAAGACGAAAAAAAACAAATTCAAACGGAAAACAGAAAGCCAAGCTAAATTCCACAGAAACAAAAGCACGCAGTCATGATTGACCACGCCAGCTGAGCAAAGTGGCGGTCCTGGAGTTGGGACTGGCACTGGCAGTGGGTCTGGGTCCGGGTCCGGGTCGGGGCCTGCGTATGGGATTGGGGTATTCATTCGTTCCATTTCATTTCTTTTTTTTCGGTAACTAACCGTGCACAAACAATGCTGATGATGCTGATTGTCTTGAGTATAATTCAATCGCCATTACTATGCAAACACACTCCGGCTTAGCACTTGATTGTGCGGCAATTGCTGGGAGCACTCAATAGAGGCCGAGGGGGGCACTCAATTGGTTGGCTGTGTAAATGTGGATGCTATTGATGGAATTTGTTTACGGGGGGCAATGTATTCTCAAAGTTATAATTGGAGTTAACCTGAAGCCTGAATTACAATATGTGCTTGGCCCCAAAATGCAACGATTTCGCCTTCACCAGACAGAAAACTTTATTTGACAAAAGGAAGTGGTTTGAATGAAAAATGGAATTTCTGCGCTTATTAACCCATTGCTGTCATGCTTCACCTTTGTCACTGAAATCCCAGTCGGATAAAGCTCGTCTACTTAATGCAGGCGAGGAAACCTTGGCAATGTTGAGCCAGTTGTCTGACCCTTTCATTAAGTTTAAGGCCAGTCTCTAAGCTCGCTTATGTAAATGTCTTTTTTTCTCTCCTTCGTCTTCCTTCTCTCTCTCTCTCTCTTGGTCATGGACACACAAAAATTAACTTCGCAATTCGATGCAAACAAAAACGAAAAAAATAATTTTAAACGCCCGGCAACAATCAACGAAATTAAACGACGCCCACAGGAGGTGACAACGGCAACGGGGCGGCCATCATATCATCGCTACGCCCCTTCGACCGCGAGACGAAAAAGTCCTACGAGATCCCCATCGAGATAAAGGACAACGGTGCACCAGCCATGACGGGCACAAGCACCCTGACGGTGACCATAGGCGATGTGAACGACAACAAGATGCAGCCGGGTAGCAAGTCTGTGCTGGTGTACAACTACCAGGGTCAGTCGCAGGACACGTCCATTGGTCGTGTTTATGTTAACGACCCAGACGACTGGGATGTGCCGGACAAGAAGTACTACTGGGAGGCACAGGAGCATCAGCGCTTCAGGCTGGACACGGACACGGGCATTCTGACAATGCGGGCGGGCACCCGACGCGGTCGCTATCAGTTGCGCTTCAAGGTTTACGACAGAGAGCAAGGTCAGGTCGATGTGCCGGCCAATCTTAGCGTCACGGTGCGCGACATTACAGCCGAGGCAGTACAGCAGGCGGGTTCCATGCGGCTTGCACATATAAGCGATGAGGATTTCGTACGCACCTGGGACTACTCCAGCCAGCTAGTGCGTCCATCTAAGTTGGAACGTTTTCGCAACAAGCTGGCCGAGCTGCTGTACACGGACCGGGATAATGTCGACATCTTCAGTGTCCAGCTTCGCGCACAGTCACCACAGCTGCTCACGGATGTGCATTTTGCTGCCCGGTCTGCCCCACAACAGCCATATTTCAAGGCCGTTCGCCTCAACGGGGTGGTGCAAATGCATCGCGAAGAGATTGAACGAGAAGTCGGCCTCAATATCACCATGGTTAATATCAACGAGTGTCTCCAAGAAGGTCGTGGTCGCTGTGGATCCGGTTCGTGCACCTCAAGGGTTGAGCTCGGCAAGCAACCATATACGGTGAGCGTCAATCGCACGGCTCTTGTTGGAGTGCGATTGGAAATCAGCGCCCAGTGTGTTTGTCGAGCCCGCAACTTCACGTCCGAACACAGTTGCCGCACCCATCACTGCTATAATGGGGGACGCTGCGTGGAAACCCGTAATGGACCACGCTGTGTGGCCTGTCCCGTGGGTTATGGTGGTCCACGATGCCAGCAATCAACGCGCAGTTTTCGAGGCAACGGCTGGGCATGGTATCCGCCGCTCCAGTTGTGTGCTGAGTCTCACCTGAGCCTTGAGTTTATAACACGCGAACCCGATGGCCTGATACTCTACAACGGACCCATTGTGCCACCCAAGGTAGACGAGCCTGTAATAAGTGACTTCATAGCCATTGAACTGGAGCAGGGCTATCCACGCCTGCTCATTGATTTCGGCTCCGGTACGCTGGAGTTGCGAGTGAAGACCCGCCAAACACTAAATGACGGCGTCTGGCATCGTCTGGACATATTTTGGGACGCAGAGAATGTGCGCATGGTGGTTGACTTTTGTCGCACAGCGCTCGTCACGGAACTAGAAGATGGCAGTTCACCGGAATTCGATGACAATGCGTGCCAGGCGCGTGGCCAAATACCACCCTTTGCGGAAGCATTGAATCTAAACCAGCCGCTGCAGCTTGGCGGCTTGTACAGGCAGCATTTTGATCAAACTCTCTATAACTGGCAGTACGCGTTCAGCTCCAAGGGTTTCGATGGTTGCATTCGCAATGTGGTCCACAACTCGGAACACTACGATCTAGCTTTTCCGGCGCTGGCGCGAAACAGCTTCCCCGCTTGTCCACAGACCGATGAGGTTTGTCTGAAAACGGAGCACACGACCCGTTGCTGGGAACATGGGAACTGTGTGGCAAGTCTTGTGCAGGCCAAGTGCCACTGCCAGCCCGGCTGGATGGGTCCCGGCTGCAATGTTCCCACCGTACCGACGACCTTCAAGCCGCAAAGTTACGTCAAGTTTGCGCTGAGCTTCGAGCCGGATCGCTTCAGCACGCAATTACAGTTGCGTTTCCGTACGCGTGAGCAGCAGGGAGAATTGTTCCGAGTGAGTGACCAGCACCAGCGTGAATACGCTATCCTGGAGCTACGACGTGGTCAACTACAGTTTCGCTATAATCTCAACTCGCTGCGGAACGAGGAACAGCGACTGGTGCTCAGTGCCATCAACGTCAATGACGGACAATGGCATGTGGTGCGAGTGAGTCGCTATGGATCGGCAGCCCTCGTTGAGCTAGATGGCGGTGAGGGGAGACGCTACAATGAGTCCTTCGGTTACGTGGGCCATCAGTGGCTCTCAATAGACAAGCAGGAGGGCGTCTATGCGGGCGGCAAGGCTGAATATACGGGCGTTAAAACGTTTGAGGTGCAGTCGGACTTTCAAAGAAGCTGCCTCGACGACATCAGGTGAGAAATTGTTGCAGATGTTGCTAATCAACCCTCCCCCATACATCTCTTTTCTAATTATGCACAATTCTTTCTTTGATTCCCGTCATGCACAAAAGACTCGATGGCAAACATCTGCCGTTACCGCCAGCCATGAATGGCACGCAGTGGGGTCAGGCGACTATGGCGCGCAACCTGGAACGCAACTGCCCCTCGAATCGGCCCTGCTCGAACGTTATTTGCCCAGATCCGTTCGATTGTGTCGATTTGTGGAACGAATACGAGTGCACGTAAGTACGAAACAAACACACACACACACACACACACACACACATGCAGCGCCAATCCTTCATATAAAGCTAGAGGCATTGAAAACCGTTCAACTGATGGCCAACTTCTGGCGTGTGTTTTGGGCGTAATTTGATTTTGGGTCTGGCGTCTCGGGCCTCTAGAACAGATTTGAATTAAGTGCACTAATTGAGGCTGCATTTCCAATAGAATAGTGATAGGCATATCCGAGTATCCTTATGCAGGTTGGAAATTGTGAAGGGAAATCGCATTTTCCAAAGTGCCCAAATTTATTTGAAGATAAATTTGCTGGTGGATGGCTTCAACTTTCGCCAATGCCATGAATAGAAGAAAAATGTATGCCTTTAACTAAAATAGATTATTTGTGCTATCTAGCGCATTGGTAGCTTTAATTATAATATGCAAACATTGCTAAGCATGCTTGTAATAGGAAATTCCTTATATCGAGGAATGTCTCCATAAAGATAATGTATGCGTTACATTACTATTCGAGTGGAAGGAATGCGTTTGCCAACTTATGAAGGGTGAATATTTAGCTACCATTATGCCCTGAACCGCTCAAAGGACTGTTGGGCATTGAAAAAAGTTGGAATGCAAGCCACAGATTGCAACATTGCGCACTATTTTCCGCATTTTGCAAACGACGTAGCATGCCTACGGGTCGTCGACGCTGGAAATCTTGAGGCCTTACAAGCCGGCGAGCAAATGGAGCGTGGAACTGAGCACCCAAACAAATAATATCAATTGTCATCATGTACCGAGACATTCCGATGTTATGGCAAGCAGGAGCATAAGCTGCAGCCGACATAGCAGGGGAAAGATAGCCCAGAAATATTTGCATGCCAGCATTGCTACACCTCTCACATGACTCGTGATCTTGGTGCTACGGCTCTTGCCATTTCCGCTTGGATGTTGCTCCACACGGGGTGAGAACATTTTCCACATCATTAGTTTTGCCAAGTGACTCCGTTTCGATTCAGACACGAGCACCAGCACCAGCACACAGTCGGCTCCCACTCCACGCTTGTCTTCGTGCGCATCCCTTTGTCTATCCCTCTGTCAGCGTGAGGATTGCCAGCACCTAGGCACTGCATCATGTCATGCTTCTATCCACGCCCCCGGCACCGTTTCGCTCCATTTCCGAACTGCTGCTGCTGCTTCTGCTGCTTCTGCTGCCACTGGAGTAGAGTCGTTGGAATAATGGCAGCTCGTGTGGCAGCGCTCATGGCGAACATTATGGAGTGGAATGAAGTACATTTTTAACTTACTGGCTGGCAGTAGTAGTAACACGTGTTTGGCGCTCTGCTTGAGCTCGTTTTAAATAAAATTTAAATATCGTACTAGATACACACACACACACACATTTCTAGTGGAGAGTATATACATTTACCTGGCCAGGTGGTGACGGACGCCAACGTGTCATAAATTATGCTTGCTTTAACCTCAATTTGAATTTCATTGTGCGGCAATGCGCTTGGAATTTGTGTCAGTCGAGCAACGACGCTGACTCCGACGCCGACGCCGACGGCAACGACAACGACGACAGACTCAATAAGAATTGACCCAAATTGTGTGAGTGAAAGCAGGCGGAAAAAGGTGGAAGGTAAATGGGCAGGCAGGCGATTTGAGGACTGCAGAGTGGGTGTGACTGTGACTGACTCCTGGTAGGGGTGGCACTTAAATTGTTTAAGGAGCCACCAAACTGGCGCCGCCAAACTCAACTATAAACCGGCTTCAAAGCTTTAAGCTACTCGTACACAGCATCCCCATTGGTTGCACTAAATGAGCGCCAAACGCAAAGCACGCAACGCGCATTTGAAGTGGAGGCAGGCTAGGGAGAGGTAAACTGCTCGTTGAGTCGTCAACTGAATGCCACGTCCCCGAAAAGTGGGGCACTGTTCTAGGTCCTAGGCAGAGTTGTTGAAAGTTAACGCTTTTAAAAAGTTATGAATAATCCGCCTCTCCTTTTTCTCTTTCGATTGGCCACTATAGTTGCAGCGAGGGACGCATTATGTCGGCGGATACAAAAGGCTGTGTCGATCGGAACGAGTGCTTGGACATGCCCTGCCTCAATGGCGCCACTTGCATCAACTTGGAGCCGCGGCTGCGTTATCGTTGCATCTGCCCAGAAGGATATTGGGGCGAGAACTGCGAGCTGGTACAGGAGGGCCAGCGCCTCAAGCTCAGCATGGGCGCGTTAAGTGCCATATTTGTCTGCCTGATTATCATACTGAGTAAGTAGAGGCACACCTTCGCTGCACTAAGCCAACACAAGCACACACTATCCGGCATGGGTATGCATCTGCATGAAAAGGCTGTTGGGTCCGTTAATCGGCTTAGGCCAAGTCTCGCCCACATTGTTTTCACTTGCTGCTCGAGCCGCCTGCCTGTTTTTACATGTAAATGCAATTTTCAGAAGGTTTATGGCGTCCAAATCCCAGTGGCAGAGCTCACACTTGCTGTACGTGGCACGCGGTTGGAGCAGATGTTCGCCATGGTGTGAGTGGAGGCGGGCCCTGGCACGGATTTGCACGGCGCAGCTGCTTGTTGTTTATGCTACGACGACTAAGTATTTAAAACACAGAGAGCACTAATAACCATTTTTCCAGGCTTTTTAAATACCACTAAATTTTGATGCTGCAATGATGTAAATGCTTCACACGAAGTTGTAAGCTGCACTGCAAAAAAAAGTTATAGCTTTTCAAATCGGACTCTGAGTCTCTACCACTTGTCGTTTAAGTTTCTTATTTCCGTAATAGCTTCAAGTAGTGCTTCACAACACTAGTTTTGAACTATATTTAGAATATTTAAATACTTTAAATCAGTAAACAAAATAAGTTAACGAGAGCTTAGGAAAATGTTCTGGAAGAGTTCCAGCAGAGACATGTCTGTTCCCCATTTTGCAGGCGCAGAAGAAAATGGTGGACAGATTCTGGGTCTTCTAATTACCATAAAATGATGTATTGTGTTGTAAATATGAAAACAATTATAAGCTTATATAATTGAGTTTCCTCAGTGCATCCATCAACGCTTTTTGCTTGTCTGCCCTGCTGATAATTTAAACCAATCTAATGAAAAGCGGAAGCGGTTTTAAAACAAGTCCACCGTTTTTATTTTACGCGTATTTTCACAGAACTTTGTTGCTAAAAAATCCTGTATTTCAAAAACGCCACTTAATGGATTTGAACAGCGCTAAGTGGCTTATGTTTGCCAATGCAAATATCTGATGGCTGGTGTCCATTCCGGCGTATACGTAATTCACGAGGTTGGCATCTATTTTCGGACTCGGATTTGAAAGGATTTTCAATTAGCGCTACATATTTTTTCTAGAGGGCTTGCCGTCGGCAATTTATTGTTGGCTATATTTAAATGTGACGCTGATTTATAAACGGCTGTAAAAATACGGGAGCGCGAAATCCGCAGCCCAATTCTATGCACACTTTAACGACCGAAACGCGTTCGGTTCGAAGCTGGCGAGCGGCAACAGCCGACCATGGCATAGAACCTTAAGCTAATTAGTCGCTGTTAAGCCGGCTAATTACACAGTTGCCTTCACCGCAGACGCCGCTGGCGCGCCCTCGATGCGCACACTCATACGCAGCATCGGCAGAGGAACAATGGGAAGTGGTCATAAAACCGCTAAACCGCAAAATAGGCGCAATAAATAAACATAAACAAATGGCCAGGCCCAGCCACGAGCTCGTCTTTGTCTCCACTTCACTCGAACGCTCGCCTTCCCAGCTTATGAAGTGAAAATATCACACAAACAGGCCGATGATGCCTCCTTTGTGTCGGTCTCGGTTTCGGTCGCATTGTCGGCTTCCGCCCTGTCTTCTCCATCCACTTCCTGCCAGGATGAGGCATAAAATCGACTGTAATGACAGCAAGTACTCGCCAGCAAAGATGAAAATTGCTGCCTGAGACTGTAGCAGTTTTTGCTTTAAAGTGGCGCGAACGCAAAAACAAACTAAATAATTATCTAACATTATTTACAGTTTTCGCTTTTGGTCTCCCTTTCTTCTTCGTCTCCACTCTCTTGCTCCCCGTCTCCTGCGTCCTCTGCTGTGTAATCTGAAAATTGCTGAACTGTACTTTGGCATAAAATTAAAATGCCATGGCAAGCGAGCATCCAGCTGCTCTCAAGGGCTGCAAGCAGAAACCCTGTTGCTAGTAGTATGTGTAAACAAAGGCAGCTTCAGACCAGTCCATTGTTGTTGTCATTATCAGCTTACTCGAGTATGTAGTTGGACCAATAAACACATGTGTGGGTGTTTCTATAGCTAGATCAACGGATTTGTAAAGATACGGATACGTACTAGATTGCATGCCATGACTGTTAAATGACTACCGGAAACTGTATTCTAAATGAAAATAAGCAGGAATAAGGGTGTAATGTATAAGCCAAACAATTTTATCATCTACAATTTTATTTCCTAAAAGGAATAATATAGAATTAGAGTTATAATATTTAATCAATCAAATTTTGCCATTCCATATGGTCGGAAATAGGACAGCATATATTTAATATTTATATTTATTTCAAATTTAAAATAATAATTCATTTCAATACCTACAAACTACTACTATGCAATTTTATTAAAAAGAAGCTCATTCATTATTAATGTATTATTTATTTATATCGTTTTCCTCACCATTATTATGTTGTTTAATGCTGTGGCGAATATTTCTTATAATTTACGAGTGGCGCTACCCTTTAACCATTTTGTAACTCTAGCCCCGAACATCTCAAAAGTTTCGCTCTTCTAACGCTTAGTCGAATCTACTACAATTTTAAATTTAGCAATAATTATTATCGTTGGTAATGAAAGCAACAAACGCCTCCTAAAACGCCTTGCACTCACTTCTTCTGTTCTTTCTTCATGGAAAAAATGTAAATGGAAAAAATGCTTTAAAGAAAATAAATATGGCAGTGCCATAACAACAGCAACAACTCCATTTACGTTTAATGAAGGTAATTAAATGTAAGGGAAAATGTTGTTTTTCTGCTCTTCTCAGTGGCCATGAGGCCACTTAAGAAATTCGAAACACGGCAACGGCAAAAATAAACGTTTTAGGAAACAGAGACCGTGGCAATAGCGAGATAGCCGGCATTCCTGTGCGCAGAAATTCCTTAAGGTTATCTTATTAATACAGAGATAATAATTACAAATGCTTTTTGTAGAGGGCGACCTTAAAGCTGTACGAAGTGTGGAAAGCTGCTTAAGCATTCTGCATTTATCTGAATCGCCTGTTGCAAATATTTTAACTCATGAATTCACTTGAACACAAGTTCAAAGAGGGATGGGGATCTAAAAAAGAGCTCTTCACCAAAAATCCAATGCAAAATCTCACTTTTCACTCTGGCAGTGTTTTAATTATTCCTCCCTGGCTGTCTTGTTGACTTAGCACCTGCCAACTCATCAAAGGTAATACCAATGTCAACTGGAGCGCATACTTGTATGACAAAAAAATCGAGTTGTTTACACGAAAAGGACTGCAAGTATTGCAAAGCAGGAGAAAACTTATTAATAACTTTATGCTACTTAAGCTGGCAAAGCAGGGAAAACTGAATAACTTTTATGAGCTGCAGACGAACTGCACTCGAAATATATTTGGCTCTGCTTTATGTCCTGTAATCCGCTTTGGCAGCTGCATCTGTCAATGCCAATGCAAGGATCCCCTTCCCCAACCCAACCAAACCTAACCTAACCCAACCCAACCCTGCTCTGCTCAGCCCAGCCCCGTCCAGCACTCTCTTCATCACTATGTTACGCGACTCTGTTTGTACATGACCGCTATAGACAAATATATGTCCGTCTCTCTGTCCAGCAGTCTGTCTGCGACCACTTTAGTGCTTGTTCAGCTCTGCCTTTCGCTCACTTCTCTATGCAAAAGTTTTATGAAACAATTACAAAACCTAAAAGAAGAAAAGCAATGGAAGCCCGAATGGATGCCCCTGCCAAAAATACTTCATTACCAGTTTGCTTCCAACGCCATAGTACATTAAATTATCTGGCCAAGAACTTTCGGATTTGTCTTTCAACTTTCTGAGGGCCACATGCCACAACTTTTCGCATTAATGGACGCATTTTTGTCGGCGAGCGTGCCTCAAGTAAGAACAATGCTGCTCCATGGCGAAGTGCATTCAGGGTTCAGTTTAAGAATATGTTCAAATATACGTAGCTTTGCTTTTACAATTTGTTCAACGACATTTAGAAAACAAACCATTTTTATTTTATTTAGAAGAGGAGAATTTCATTTGAATACAGATATATGTATCTGGTTAGTGTTTTTGATAACGACTTAAGTCTAAAGTAAGACCGTATTAATTAAAACATGTGTTTTAGATTAAAACATGCAAATGGTAAAACCTGGATATTAATTATATTCACAACTTAGTGTTTTTGATAACGACTTAAGTCTAAAGCAAGATCGTATTAATTAAAACATGTGTTTTAGATTAAAACATGCAAATGGTAAAACCTGGATATTAATTATATTCACAACTTGTATTCACAACTTGTAATTGGCATAATTTTTCCATCGAATATATTTATATGCTTTGAAGATGTTTGCCATTACTTTGAGACACTGCTGTTCAAATGATGGACATTCTGCGTATAAATAAAATAGTGGTTCAATCGCTGATATTTGTTCACACTTCATGCAATGTCGGGCTGTGGATATTGACTTCGGATTATCCCGTAATATTATAAGAAGCATCTGACGCTGGCCTAATTTCCCTTACTCTCGATTTCCTTGCAGTTCTTGCATTGATTTTTGTGCTTTACAACCGCAAACGCAAGACAACCAAGAAGAAGAAGCGGGCCGGTCCCGAGAAGGATGTGCGCGAGACTGTCATTAGCTACGAGGACGAGGGCGGTGGCGAGGACGACATGACGGCTTTCGACATAACGCCCCTGCAAATTCCGATAAGCGCGCAGGGTGGCTCAATGCCGCCTGACATTGCCGCTTGTAAGATGCCAATAATATGTGAGTAATTGCGCGTTGAAATTTCTGAAATTTCTGGTTTCCGTCATAATTCGTGCAACACCCCCTTTGGACCCACTCTCTAACATGGTCGCCCTCTGTCTGTTTTGCGTAGATCCTGTGATGACTTTGCTGCCGCCCGGCCAGGAGCTGAACGTCGCCTATCTAATGGAGGAGCGCAAGCAACGCATCGACAAGGATCCGAATGCACCGCCCTTCGATGACCTGCGCAACTTTACGTTCGAGGGGAGTGGCAGCATAGCTGAATCGCTCAGTTCGTTGGCTTCAGGTGAGCAGCTGAACGGAAGTACTCGTATTTGGCTTTGACTAACTGGCCCACATCCTGTTTTTCCTTCTTCTTCTCCACCTCTCCCATATGCCAGGCACCGATGATGAGAATCAAGACTTTAACTATTTACAAAATTGGGGTCCACGTTTCAATGCGCTTGCCGCGATGTACGTGCACGATAAGGCGAAATCCAAACAGGCAATGGCTGCCACATCCTCGCCGACGACGGCAACGGCGACGGCAACGGCGACTACCGACAATGGTGTGGCCATTGTGGCAACAGGCAGTGGCGCCGGTCCCGGAGGTGGTAGTAGTGGTGGACGTGGAGGCATCACATCGGAAGCCGAGAATGGTGTATTATAAAATAATAGTTAAGCTGTAGTTAAAATGTTTACCAGAAGCCAAGAAGTTGCTTCGGGATTGTATTAAGCCAAGTATTGTACTCGAGAATGTATCTAAGTGTGTAGATGTGTGCGGCCAAGAAGATTTTAAACTTTCCCACACCGGCCTACAAGCTTCAAGTGTCAGTGTGTCCTTCAAACTTTTCGAGCAATATTCGAATGCAAGTTTTAAACTCGACATAGAAGTTAACTTTCTACATTTCTACATTTCTTTGGCTATCCTTTAGTGCTGCAACTTTTCAACTGAACCAAGTAAAGAATCAAATAATACACTAAACAAAATTAGAAATACAAAAACATATTTGTTAAGCCTCCTCATACTACAAGCAGTTTATAAAACTTGCCACTTAGTTAAACACCCTGTATAAATACACATACTATAGTATATTATGGTATTCACCAGAAGTTTTGAGTTCACCGACAGAGCTGGCGATAAAGATAAACCGTTTACAAAATCAAATATACTTGTAAAATACGAGCATATAAATCGCCACCCCCTTGTCGCCGTCAGGTCCAGGCACGTATTCGAAAGTTCAGCTGCCTCTGGAGATTGACACGTGGCGGCTGACGGTGGGGGGAAAGGAGCGTGAAATTATGGTGAAATTTAATACTAACTGAAAAATTACTGTGTAATATAATTTTGTAAATATTAAATTCGGTGGTATATGTATTTAGTGTTAATTGAAAGCAACATTAACGAGCGCAGCACAACCAACAGATGGCAAAACAGAAGAACAACAACATTTAAATACCTACTAGACTAATGAACTGCAATTAAAACTAAATTTAATTACAAATTACCGACGAGAAACGTGAGCAAGAGCGCGCTATAAAAACAATTTCATATTTCTGCATTTACTAGCAAATTGACGTGGCAAATTAAAAATGAAAATAATGATTAAAATAACAACTACGAGTATGGATGTATTAAATAGCGACAAAAACCAAAAGCGAAACGTTAATTAATTTACATTAGTTAAAGGACAATTTGTTAGTAGCTAGTACATAAGCATAATTTTTTAAAAATCAATAAACCCGATAATAAAACTAATCCAACTTGCCATTTTTTTAACGGAGGGAGCGAAACTTATTCGAGTGTCGTCGCTAAAATTCAGTGTGCCGCTATGCCTAATGAGGCTTGTCGAGGACTTCGACTTTAAGGAGACGGCAGTCGGGGTAGGTGTCAGCAGCTGCCGGTGGCGCCTCGGATGTGAATTTTCGTCGCCCGCGAAGCATGAAAAGCCAAACGGAGCATAAGACAGGCGAACATGCATTGCCTTTTACAGCCTCGGCCTAGACAGCACGTTGAAAGGATGTCTTGACCTTAGCAGCTTGCCCGTCGAATTTCTTTTGGCATCGAGAGTCTTGCGCACAGGACCATTTTGTGGGGGGAAACTGCTTGTAACACAATTTTTTCTCAAATTTATGGACAGGCTTAGTCATGTCGCTTTAGTATGGAAAAAAAGCTCACGCACCAGCCAGCCAAAATACACTTCGATCGTTTCTAAACAATTTATGTACAATTTATTAAACCAGCATTTTTCCACCAATATGGCAGCTTAAGCTTGCTGAAAATTGGCTTTGAAACTTAGTTATGTTTTGTAATGGTCACCTGCATTAAAATTAAATTAATTTTACTTTTATCGCAGCTCGGTGCTACAAAATTGACACTTGCGATAAAAAGGGTTAAAGTTGGTCCCAAAGCTTCAGGCCCCTATCAGCTGTAGTACTACGAAAGTTTTAGTTAGTACAACTCTGAAATTGACTGGAATGTAAAGCGCATCTAACTTTACGCAGTTCAGTAATTCCTTGGAATTAGGTGTTATAAAAGGCCTGATCTTGCTAAGATCGCTCTCTTTTGTTCTTTAACTTTTGGATGGCCAAGTTCTACAAAGTAGCCACGTCCGTCAGCTACGGCTAACACGTGTTTTGGGTGTTTTTCACTGGCCCAAAAGGAAAACGGCGTGAGACTCTCGAATCCAAAGATTTTGTCCACGTTAACCTGGACCTGGATCGAGTGTAAGTCCGTGCGGCTGGAGACGATTTGCAGACGCCCAAACTTTATGGCATTTTCCGTCTGTGGGAAACTGCCTATTAAGGATGCTGCTAAGTAATCGGTGCGCATCCGTCACTAGATTTGCGACTAATACCTTGTCGCTGCTGTATTGGGTGCAGCCAAATCAAATAACCTCGACATAAGGGTTATTTCCCGGCGGAATTCAAACCGCAGTCGTTGTCTACACTTGGACGAAACATTTGGTTCCAACCGGCAAAGTGAATTGCCGTATGCTACAAGTCCGTCTTCCAAAAAGGAGCTTGCGAACATGCGGGATATATATTTTTGCTCTGGGTGTCGAAACGTCATTAGCCCAACCTAACCATCGCCGACTTCCCTCTGCCGTAGAACCCATTGCCGCCACCACCACCTCAGCGTTAACTACATAAAATGTGCTACTGCGCACAAAAAGAGCCTATGAAATCACAGTTTCAAAATTGAAGAGAGTGTGTGTACAGTGCATAGAAAGGGAAATGCCTTAAAACCCAATATATGTACCAATAGGTACAGTTTTTTTTTAGCAGACATGTGCATTTAAGTCTGTATAATTTTTTTGCTATTGTTTTTTTTTCGTGCCCAAGATCAGTGCATAAAAGCTTAAACCGAAATAAACTCTCAAAAAGGCATGTGTACAAATATATACAAGTATAATAATAGCAAAAGAAAATGAACCCGAAAAAATATGCCTCGAGATAAATAAGACAAATTTAAATAAACCCAAAATTAACCCATCCATATAATAACACACCAAATAAATCTGTATTTGCATATAAATGTATGTGCATTGAATTAATCTGTACATAAAACAACGACAACACCTCGCTGGAGGGCCCTTCATCGCTGGAGTCTGTGCGTAAGTCTGTATTTATCATTGCTTTCGCTTTTGTTTCTTATCTCGTTTGTGAGCCGAAGTTAAATTGATATACAAGTAATGCGATACATATATATTAATTTTAGTGCAGAGCTTTTGCTCGACAGTTATCGCATGTCAATTTACTTTCGTCTGATACTAACTTTTTCTCTTATACTAATATGCCTTTGAGAGAACATATGACAATAACTTAAAATGCGGAGGTCAATGAACTCACAAAGAATGCGCTGATCTGCAGCACTGACCTCATTGCCTCACTATCACTCATGTGAGCTTTTAGTTTAGTTTTGTTTTTTTTTTTTTTTCATTTAATTGCCATTAAATTCACTGCTGCTGATTTGGGTAGCTAAGTTTTGAATCGACGTTACTTTAATGCATAAGGAATAACATGAAAATAAATAACATTAAGCGTATATGCACACACACTTTCTGATTTCACCATTAATTTTTTTCTTTTGTTTGATACTAAAATATTAAACTTATTTACTTTTAATTATATGCTAGTGAATAATATAAATAACTACTTGTTTTTAATTTTGTATACTTATACTGAACAAGTTTTCTTCCATGAATTTATAAACGACTATTATGTTTCCACTTTCATTTGAATTATCATGCTACTAGAAATATAATTTCTCGCAAATGTTTATCTTTATAATAACTCATGCCTATTATTAAATTCTGTTTAAAATGAATTGATAAAGTTTTATTTTTTCTAGCTACAAGTAGCTAGAACATTTACTATAGGGGAACTCCATAAACAATAATCGCATTGGAGCTCCATGGTTGGGTGGGTATAGAACGCGAGCATCGACTTCCATCTCAAGATCTCGCAAACTAGCTAGACATATATTCTGATGCAAGAAGCCATCACCTGTACCGTCAGTTTTCCTCTCCCGTTTAATTGGCCTTTGATTTTTTTTTTAGTTGCTTTGTTGGAAGTAGGCCCTCCAAAATTTAGTTTCAGCAGGGACTCTATAATAATTTAATTTATGTACTTAGAGTCGTCAGGACAGTTTCCAATAGAATAGACAGAAACGTGACTGCACGATTGCTATTAAATTTAACAAGAATATCATGAGACACTATGGAGAGCTTATAACTTCCAGATTTACAGAAGATATCTGGATAAATACAGAACCTACTGCTGTATACCTATAGCTTGTAATAAACTTGCTCAGCATTTGAATACTACTTGTATGAACAGACTTACATGTTCATGTCAATTCGTCTTCTAACTACTACAATAAATACAGTTGGCGTTTAGGCTTTTAATTCACCTTTTTACGATTCGTATACAAGGTATAACAACCGGTAAAAAATATTCAATTTTCCTCACATTTTCGGCATTTCTTTTGGGAAATCTCTTCTGAGCTTATTTAAAAGGGACTGGGCTCCTGCTTGAGTTGAATGGACTGCGAGCAGACAGCCGCATGCACTCTCTATTATTCTCATTTGGTTGCCATGCAAACACAACTTCAAGTCCATGTATCTGATTGTGCTATGTGGAAGGCCTTGAGAAATAATTCAACTTCAAACAAAAACTTCTTAAAGTAACTTATGTATGTATGTATATGATTGGGGAGAGTAGAGAGAATATTTGTTTTTTTTTGTTTTTTAAGGAAATTTTACAAATTTATTGTAGTTTTCTGGACTCAAGGAAACATGGTACGAGTTGCAAAAGCCAATTGTCTACATTGTAATTTTTGTTTATTAAATTTTCAAAGTGGCTTTAGCAGTTTCTGCACCCATGCTTGCTCTAGAATTTAGTTCTTGTGTTTGTGCCCTCCGGGCGAATTTTAAGAGCGCAGCAAATACGCCAATTAGGCTGCTTGTTCAGGGCCATACCACATGCAACACATAATAGATTCCAAATCATAGCATCAACCCGCATCTACTTTCCACCTACTTATGTGGGATGCTTCAGATTGGCAACTTGCCTGCCACTAGAAAGCGAAACAAAAGCAAATCAGTTCAGGGCCGAATTCAGCCAGCCACTTACCGCCCCCCACATATGTGGCATCGTGCTAATTGACTTTATTAGCAACAACAGTAAGAGCAGCAGCCGCAGGAGCAACAGCAGTAGCAGTAGCAGCTACAAGAGTTGCAGCAACAACTGCAACAGTAACATCTATGCACGAACGTTTGCGCTTCATTAATTGATGACTTTTACAGTAGTTTCGCTGTTTCTGTGTTTCGATGACTCGAATAAACCAACTGGCTGGTGGATTCTGCCCATACTTAAATGTATGGTATAATGGGTATTAAAAGCACGCCATATCAATAAAGCCATTTCCCACGGCCATATATCGCAAATGCATTATAATAAAAGCAGTGTTTACGGACTTAATGCTATGTATTGCATAGGACTCGATTAAAAATTATTTAAATACAATTTACTTTGCCAAGCGAGCTTCTCCGCCAACCACCCACCTCCTACCCCCCCATATACTGCCTATAGATTATACAATTTATGCTGATTATTCACATTTCGTACATTTTCGCATGATTTACTGTATGAGCTAGCGCTTTTTGTCTGCCACCAAATTATTAAAAATGACGCACTTTATTTAATTATTTTTAACGCACTTCCACACCCAGACTAGGCCCATTTCACAATACTCATAATTTGGGGCAATATTTTCGCATTATTCGAACAAGTGTAAGCTGAGCAGACAGCTATTTTGCATTTTCAATTTTATTCGATGAGCATTACTTACCCGAAAATTGCAAACAACATTCGCCATAGTTATTATTTCTAATTGCTTTTCGGTGAGTCGGCAAAATGGAAATGAGAAACGAAAATGGCCGAAATGGCCAACGACCTGCAGAGCATTTGCATCGAATTGTTGAATTTTTAATATATTATCGCATTAGCATTAAATTTACGCGTTTAATTAAGTATAATTATAAGCGTTTGCTCTCTGGCCACGGAATGCGAAGCACACGTCCGATCACATCAATATTTTCAACACACAAATTGAAAAACCAAGCTCAGACCCATTCCGGTGCAGTTTAAAATAAATACGCACAGAAATTAAATTCTTGAACGAGAACGGATTTTTAATTCATTTCGAGCATACTACAGCTCGCCAGAGCCAACTGCCTGGCTTTCTGTCCATCC